GCCATTGGAAACAAACTCTGTGCATTTTGGAAGAGGTAGCATATATTACTACATGTACCAGACAGCCATGAGCCGATGAATATTTAAAATATTCTACTTCTATAGTTCATTCAACATCTCATTCTGTTTCTCTATATCTGATGAAGTGGATGTGTCCACGAAAGCAGCATTAAAATATCATAGTTTTTAAAGGGCCACGTGTCATTGGAAACAAACTCTGTGCATTTTGGAAGAGGTAGCATATATTACTACATGTACCAGACAGCCATGAGCCGATGAATATTTAAAATATTCTACTTCTATAGTTCATTCAACATCTCATTCTGTTTCTCTATATCTGATGAAGTGGATGTGTCCACGAAAGCAGCATTAAAATATCATAGTTTTTAAAGGGCCACGTGTACTGTCAGTTTGTTTTGTACACACACACACACACACACAGAGAGAGAGAGAGAGAGAGAGAGAAAGAGAGAGAGAGAGAGAGAAAGAGAAATGAATGTCTTTGAGTTGAGCCAGTGAATGGGGCCAGCTGGAAGCGAGGAGAAAAAGAATATCTAGATGTTAAACCTATCATTCAACAATAAAACCAAGCACCATTAGACCTTACAACTGCACAGCTGGAAGGGGACCCTGTGGGTCATCAAGTCCATCCCCTCTCAAGGAGGCCCAGTGGGGGATTTGAACTCCCAGCCTCCGGCTCCTCAACCAGATGCCTCAACCACTGCCCTATCCGGCAGTTCTTCCAGGGGCCACCTTAAGGAGACAGAATGAGTCTGGAACTTGAAAGGCACCCCTGTCCCCGAAACCGGACAACAAGCTTTCTTAAAATGTGGTCCAACATCCTGCGTGGGGTGGGAGTGGGCGGCTGGCCTTAAGACGCACCTGCCCTGTCCCCTTCCGAATGGCACTGGCAGGACAAACAGCCATGCTGTGCCTTGATGGAGATTGATGAGTATCTGGGTGGCTTTAAGGCTGGGACAGCTTTAGAAGAGGAGGAGATGAATTCAAAGAAAGTTAGGGCTGTCTACGGATGCCCCGTGTGGTGGTGTGGAAAGAGTGATGGACTAAGACTCGGGAGGCCCGGGTTCGAATCATTGCTCAGCCATGCAAAACAGGGACGTATAACTGGTAAAACTACCCTTAAATATCTCACTTAACTAGAAAGCCTCGTTAAGGAACACTATAGGTTGGTCCCAATTTGATGGCACGGAATACACAGGATTGTCCGTGGCTTGTAATCTGGGTGGCTTTGCATCACCTTGGTGATCTGAGGCACTAGAACTCCCATCCAGCATGGCCATGTGACCCTGATGGATGCTGGGAACGGTTGTCCAAAAAAGTAACTTTTCTAAACCTTGGGGGGAGAGAGAGAGAGGCTGGCATGGTATCCCCATTCTTGTGGGCCAAGACTGCTCCTCGTGTGCACCTGTTTCTGAGCGACACTTTGGGAGTGGAGAATTCCTGGGTCTAACCCGGCCCAACCCTCACGTCCTTGCCAGTCGAGGATGGGGAGGTCACGGAAAACTTTGCTGAGATTTGGTGAATCAGACAGGATGATGTGGTCAAGGCCTCAGCTGGCACGGCTCCTCATTCTGCTGGAAACATGGGGGCAGGCAGATTCAGGGTTTTCAAAGCGGAGTGAGACCTGTCAGTCTGCTTTTGATTTGTAGGTGGGGTGGGAATCCGAGCCACCTCGTCCCAGCATCCTCCCTCTTTCCAGCATCCTTCCTTGATTGAAGTAAATGTTGAACTGGCTACCAAGATCTCCTCCTGCTCCTGCCTCCCTCCCATCTAAACTGTGCAGGAGAATTTAGCAAGAGAGGGGGTCCCCTGCCGTGTCCTCTCCCTGCACCAGGAGAACCCTTCACTCGATCACTTGTGCAGGGCCAGGGGAGAGGAGAGGGGAACCCACCCAGGAGCAAAACTGGCCACCGGGCCACCAACCCCATTCTTGCAATTCCTTTGGCTCTCCCCCCAAAGCTTTCCTCTTTCCCAGAAGATGCTCTGAAGCCTCCTCTCACCCTCCTGCATCTTCACATGTGGATGGAGCACTTAGGGGCCCTTCTTTTCCTTAAAGGGTAGGAGAAACATCCCTGCCGTGTTGATAGTGGGATGGGCTCCCTTAGAAATGGTTGGGGGCGGTGGAAGAGGAGTGGGACGACCACCCGGCCAGGGTGATTTGGCTGTGGATTCCCTGCAGGTGAAGCAGGGTGGACTGGATGGACGTTGGGGGTGCCTTCCAACTTTAAAACTCTGTGCTTTTGGCAACGCAAGCTAGACCAGCAGGTGCGTGCCAAATAACAAGGCAGGGCAAATCCATCTTCCTGTTGAACAGGATGTCTCTCCTGTTTCCTCCTTTCCAGCCCTGAAAGGCTTATGATTAACGCAAAAGGTTGCCTGCACCTACAGCTGCCATTACCTCGATAATGGAGGAACGAGGGGTGACTCACGCACAAAATCCTGCCTGGTGGTATGATTAACTGCGGAGGAGGCAAGGCAGGAACGACATTGCTTGAAAGACTTTGTGCCGGACTTATCCGTGATCATTCGGCCAAGTGGCCTTCAGCAGTGTGGCACCATCCAGGGCCGTTGCACGACAACTCCCATCATCCACACCCAGCATGCCAAACCCTGGAGGAAGGCTTGAGCGGGGAATAGCCTGACCCCAGAGCTTGGTGTCCTGTGTCTTAACAGGCCTTTGTCCAATTTAAAATCTGGCTTGGTTGCCAAGGTGGCAAACGTTGCACACCTTCCACCGCCCTGGTGCCTACAGGCCAGAATATGCGCTCCAGGCAATGGGAGCATTGCGAAAGTGGGTAGCGAGTTCAAATTCCTTTCCGTAGAACTCACGGAGCAGCTTCTGGTATGAGAAAGCCTCCCTCACAGGGTCATTGTGAAGCTAAAATGCTACTTTGGGGGAGAAAAAGTTAATGTGGAATACAAATAAATGAACTAAATAGATTCTCCCCACATTTTGCTTTTGTGGAAGGAAAGTTTAAGGATTAAAAATAAAATCTGTGAATAAACTTTAAAGCAGTGTCATAGAGCAAGGATGAAGCCCACAGTTTAACAACCTCCCCACCGCAAAACAATCTCCCTGGAAAAGGAGGTTACAAGCATTTGGTTTGCTTGCACAGATGCAAGCTTTATTTGGGGGAAATTCCACTCTGGAGGTGTTGCTTCTTAGCAGGTCAGCTGAGGATGCTAACCTTGAGAGAAGCCCGGAGGGAAAAGATGAGAAAACAGGCCTTCTTTGGTGGCTGCTCCTCGAATGTAGAATAAACTTCCTCCTGCAATTTGTTTGGGCCCATTGCTGGTGGTTTTTAAAAAGCCCCCTAAACCCTGGTTATTTAGGCAGGCATTCCAAACCCATTGCTGGTGATTTTTAAAAAGCCCCCCAAACCCTGGTTATTTAGCCAGGCATTCCAAAACGCTATACCTGTGGATTCAACTGAGCTTAGCCAGTCTACTTGATCGAGTCCGCCTTTTGAAATGTTTTAAATGTCCTAAGTCTTTTTATGCAGATGCATTTTTATGTTTTGACTGTACTGTTCATTTGCATTATATTCTTTCTATTTTCTGCCCTGTTAAATTGTATTTTAATCGTGTTATTTATACATATATACTGTAGGTTGCAAACCGCCCGGAGTGCCCTTCGGCAAGGTGCTTCTGTGTAAAGATGCCTGACTTTGCAAGGAGAAATACCCAGGGAAACTTGACCTGGGTGTGTGTGTCCATACGTGTGTATACTCTGGCACTGCTTTTGTAGGATCAGGGTGCAACTGTTGGGCACGCAGAAGCAGAAAGGGGAAATTGTGGGCAGAGATTGTGCAGCAAGGGGGGGCAGGCCCACCGGGCGTGGGTTACCTCTGCAGGTCCGTTTCCTTTTCCTTTCCTCAATACCAGGGCCCTCTGGGAAGAGGAGGGAATTATAGAATAGAGTCTAGTACCTTAAACGGAGAACCCTTTTTCAAATCGTTCCAGAACGGATGTGTGCGGTGGCACCAGAGTAATCCAGTAAAACCAGCAGTGAGTTTATGAAAGACAAGAGAAAGTGCTTCTTTGTAAAAACGAGTAATTCACTTAGGGTGTTAGTGCTACAAAGTGTGATGATAACCCACAACCAACCTGTACAACCTTCAAAATGGCTTAAGAAATCCTCATCTGGGGCTATCAGCGATTACATGATGAAACCTCTGCGTTCAGAGGCTGTTTTCCTCTCGGGATGAGATGCTGGGGATGGACAAGACGGGCTCGTGAGATTTTAGGGGGCACCCCCCAGGTTGGAAACAAGACTAGGTGGGTGAGCATCTCTCAACCTGGCGCTCCCGAGGGATGTAGGACTACAGTGCCCATTATCCCTAGTCAGCAGGGGCTGTTAGGGAGGGACAGAAGTCGAGCGCATCTGGAAAGCACCAGATTGGGAGAAGCCTGGAACGGACCCATCTTGGTCTGGCCCGGCTGAGCCGTTCTGATGTTTCTGTAAGTTTCAGCATCTCATTTCCCAGGATTTTTGGGGGAGACACCATGACAAGGAAAGTGGTACAAAACAGATAACAGGTTTGTAGTGATCCTTCTGGAAAACTACATGTGCTTTCGTTCCTTGTTATTCTGTAGAGCTGGGTTTTTTCCTTCTTCTTTTCTCTTCTGAAGGAGTTCCCTTTCCCTTTCCTTTCTTATGTCTTTTTTTTTTTTGCATTCTCTGTTAATCATCTGGTAGGAGAAACAACGTACAACACGCCAAGAGTAAAAACAAAAAAACCCAAGAAAACCCCAAACGAAGAAAAACAAGTAAACAAAACCCACACAACAGCTCAAAATAAGCTATAATCAACAGCTAGTGGCCTTCTGAGAACCCAGGTGGAAAAAAATCTCCATGTGCTTCTGTTTTTGAAAGAAGGAAACCCAACCGCCTCGGACGCCCGCAAGCAGTGGCTTTGTGCTGAGCAGCACCGAGGGGGCGAGATGTTCTGGACGGGATTTGTGGCCGAGGTGCTTGGTTTTTTTGGGGGGGGGTCCAAGGGAAGGGGTGTCTGTCGGCAGGCCTTGCCCTGAAGAGAAGGAGGCAAGGGTGCCCAGAATCCAGGCGCCCATCCCTTACTTCTGTGACCAGAAGGAAGCAAATCAGCCACGGCACACGAGACGTTTCCCAAGCGACAAATGTTGTGGGGCGAGACAAGATGGCCGATCAGGGTGGACCTCATTGAGTCGCTCCTCATTCGCTGGGTGCGCAGGATCCTTCAGGGATTCAAGACTGGCCCTCTGCCCTTGTGGAAACGCTTTGTCCCCGCCATGCTGTTTCAATATATGGTGGGGATTTCCTCCTGCCCTTCTTGGCAAGGGCCGGCTGGGGGTCCTTCCCCTTGGGTCTTTCTTTTCCCAGAGCGAAGATGAAGAGTCCCAAGAGAGAGAGAGAGAGAGCTTGACGTCTCTGGCTGAGCAGAGCTGTGCTTTCCAGAATATTTTACCTCCCCAGCTGCCAAACCTTGGAGGGGGAAACGGTGAGAGAGGAGGAGACCGGGCGGTCCATCCATCAGACTGTCATGCTTCGATTATATTCACTGAGGGCTTGTTTTTTGGAAACTGGAAGAGGAAGAAGGAGTGAGAGTAGTAAGAGGGGAAGAAGAGGGAGGCCAAGGGAAAATGGGTGATTGGGAAGAGGGGCTCCCGGATGACCCCTCTTTTTGGCACTGCTGTTTGTGATGTTCCCAGAGGGTCACTGGACTCACACTGTGCCCACTTCCAGTAATCTCTGTCCTTAATTCCACCAAAGCACCGAGGCATTCGGATCATATAAGGAGCCGTGGCTGTGTGTCTTAAGCTGACTTCTGCCCCTGAAGGAACAGGGGCCGGGCTGGGAGTAATTCCTTCCACTGCAGGCATCTGCAGCTCATAAAGCAGGTTGCCCAAAGTTTGGCAAGGGGGTGTTGCATGCAAGGATGGGAGCGTCCCCCAAATCGGTGGCCTCGAAGTGGATTTTGAGCAGCTGAATCTGTTCAAGGCAGGCTCAGAGCTGCAGATGGAAGGAAGGAAAGGGGGGGATGAGGGGGTTCCCTGCACACCCACGGCTAATTCAAGAAGGTTTCCTCGTGCTGCCTGCTGTCTCAGGCTTCTTATGAACCCCACTCTCCCTTATTCTTTGCAAAGCAAAGCAAAATGTACTGTTTATATTCTGCCCCAAAGCACTCCCTGGGCAGTTTACAAGCTAATTGCACAGGCTACACATTGTACCCCCCATAATTTGGGTATTCATTTCACCAACCTTGGAGGGCTGGAAGGCTGAGCCAACCTCAAACCAGCTACCTATCAGGGGACTGAAGGCAGGTGGTGAGCAGAGGCTTCCCAGCAGGACTGCGGTTTAACCACCGTGCCACAAGCTTCCTTAGGTTACACAGCATGGGCTTTCTGCTTCAGTCAAGCCAATGGCTACCTCAGGAGCAGTCCAATGGCCTCAGTTCCCACCCCCTCCCCATCTCCCCAGCCCTCCTCACCTTGCTACGCAAAAGCCCCCCACTCTGATGTTCCGGGGTGCTGTTTTCAGAGGTGTTCTTGGCTTTCTCCTTATTGTTATTGGGCTCGTTGTCCTTGATGATGTCGTACTGCCGGCAGAAGAGGGCGATCACGCCTGGAAGGGGGGGGCATAGAAAAAAAGCATCACTGGTCACATGGCCGGGATGGTCAGCCATGCGTCTCAGGGAGCATTGGTTGGCCCCATCGCCAACCACAGGTAAGAGAAATGCGGGAGCCCCCTTACCTAAAGGGCATTTTCTCCGATGGCTGACTCTACACACTCCGTGGTGCCATGTTCTGCAGGATAGAAGCGCAGCTTCCTAGCAAGGGAGGGCAAGACTCTGACCTCATCCCAGACCTTGGAAATGGTCCGTTCTTGGACAGCCACCTCCAGCACTCCCTGGCCAGCCTAGCAGCTGGGAGTTGGAGCCCAAGAAAGTCAAGCGGGATCTCTGTCTGTGTGCGGCACTCCTAATAAAAACCAAGCCCCTGCAACTGGATGTGTGACTCAACAAAAGAAAACACAGCCCAATATATAGTTTGCAAGACTTGAGCAGGGTGGTTAAAGACAGACCTTTTGGAAGTTCTAAGACTGTGAAGCTGCCATAATTCGAAGCCACTTAATGATGCCAAACAAGAACGGCGCGGCAGCAACAATAGGATCAGTACATTATCTGAGTAGATTAGAGTAGATTCGTTTGAATCTAGATCGGTGGGGTAAAAGCCGAATAAATAAATAATCTCCTCCTCCTCCTTACTATCCCTTTTGCTTGTACATAGTCCTCTTTCCACTACTAAGATTTAGGACAGAATTTATTTGTTTTTATTCATTTTATTAGATTTCTACCTGGCCCATCTAGACCAAAGGTCTGCTCTGGGCGATAGAAGCTCCTCCAAGCACGGTTGCTATTTTTTTGGGGGGGGAGGCGGGAGGGTGGCAGGCATCGTACTGCATTTGTGATGAGTGCACATCTGTATAATACCCCACCCTCTTTGTTTTCTGTTTCCAAACTCTGATGAAATACTTCATGCCCAGCAAATCACCAGACTCAGGACCTCATTGCCACAAGATATCCTGGCAGCTATTTTAAAATAAGGACGGGATGCTCTATCCATGGCAAATCTGTTGAGGAAAACAGTTCCAACTTGTGAAATTGGGGAAAAGTTAGCACTTCCAAGATACCCCATCAAAGCTCCTCTTCAAAGGCTGGTTTTGAACAATCCAGCGGAATAGGTAAGTAACGGAGGATCTACCAGGATGGATGGACCGGATGTGCCTTCCGGGACCTCCTTGTCTTGAGATATCTGACATCTTATGATAATAGCGGCCAACTCTATGAGCCAATTTGCCACCAGTAGAGAGGAACGATGGTAAGGAGCAGGGGGGCGGAAGGCGCTTAAGTGTTACTTAAGAAAAGCCATCCTGCGTTAGGGCCAACCGAGGGCTATGGATGATGACCTTGTGATCAAGAGCCCAGAGGGAGATCTGGGTTGACTTTGGAGACAAAAGGAGGTGCTTGCTTAGCAGGAATTGCCTGCCCAGGGATGCACACACGCAAGGATGACGGGAAGGAGCAAGAGAGTGGAAAATTCCTTTGTCTCGGAATCAAGCCTAGCCACCAGGAGAAAGACCACCGCTCTCCCTGAGAGCCCTCCACAGGTCTGGTCTCCCTGGACTGTTGCAAATACAAAGTGACAGCTGAGGTTTGCAGCCAAGCAGCCTCTGGCCGGGGTTCTGTCTTAGAGGAATACATTTTTGAGACTGCCGACATGGACCTGTGAGCAGAGATGGTAAATATTACTTTTTTTAGCTTGCCACTCTCATGCAGCCATCGTGGGGGTCGGCGGCTTTCCTCTTTTGTTCCCATGCACACGCTTCACCGTTCAGTTCCCTCTCCTTATTTGAAACATGTGATGGCCTGGAGCAGCTTCTTTACAATCCAGAATAGAATATGCAGTGATGACAATAGAAATCACATCGTGCCTTAGACACAGAGAGATGGAATGCTTTGGTCGCCTAGGGAGAAACCCACCCCCCAAGCAGCTTATTACAGCTAATCATTCAAGGTACACTGAAAGGTGCAGAAAGAAGAGGAATATCTTGGCTGAAAAAGCATATAGTTTGGAGGAAGTGCCACATCATTGCTCAGAAATGCTGCATGCAAACTCAGAATTGCCAAGACCCTGTCAACCTCTGGCTGGCGAGTTAGGAGAAGACAGAGGAGGTTCTAGCTTTGGCCAAAACAGCCCGAAAAACCTACAACAACCATCAGATCCCGGCCATGAAAGCCTTTGAGAATAGGATAAACGGGCCGTTGAACTGGGTGGGGAGGATCCTACCCCCACCCCCCATGCTCAGGACATTAGCTAATCTTTAATACATTTCACAGATCTTTATAATGGAATGGCTTTTGGGTCAGTGTCCTAATCTGGATGTCACCTTCAAGTATAGTTAATACCCCCACCCTAGAAAAAAGGATGTTCATAGGAGGGTCTCCTTCTGAGCTCTCTGTACTAGCTTTGCTCACATACTGGAAGTCCAGGGGGAAAAAATCTGGCCAAGAAAGGAACTGGAATTGCAGATGAGAAACCCTAACTCAAACATAGAACCCTAGAATCATGGATTTGGAAGGGTCCTGTAAGACCCCCTTGGTCGAGGCAGGAATCCAAGTCAAAGCAGACCGGGCAGATGGGTGGTCCAGTTTTCTCTGGAATGCCTCCAGTGCTGGAGCACAGATGGGAGCTGGGAGGCGAAGAAGCAGAAGCCTGAAGTGTCTCATGTCTTCCTGGGCAGAGAGAGGGTTGATTCAAGTCAAAGCTGCTTAATTTGCAATATTGGAACGCATACATCTGTCTCTGGAGGCGGTCTCAGCTGGATTGGCTATTTAGCACCTGGCGAAATTAAGCAGCTCTCATTTCATCTCCACTACATGGTTCGTTACTTTCGTTAGCATCTCCCACACTATTAAAGGTGCACCAGAAAGTCCCTCAATGGAGAGACTGGTGCATAAAGAAGGAGGGAAAACATTTTCCCAGAGAAAGGTGGGAAGCGTGAGCGTGCCAGGAGACCCAGATTTCACCTGAAATGGCCTGCCCGTCCTCCCTCCCTTGCTCCCCCCATCCCTGTGCTTCCTGTTCC